ATGGTTTTAGAGTTATAAGAGAAACCATCAGACCATACATCGTTATGTGTTTTTTATAGCTTCCAAGGTAGCCTTAATTTTTTATATTTTTAGTGAAGAGCAAGAGGCATGAGTAGTTATTTGAGTATATTATATTGTCCATAGTTTAATACTAGTTAAAATTGTTCCAAGCAGTTTCTGATTTATTCTATATATAACCATAAGGTGATTTGGAGGTAATACGTAAGGTCCTGTAGCACATACTAGGTACCGCCCTTGGATTATGTCCCCAACTCTATTTTATTTATTGATAATTTCCAAATCTGTATCTTTTAACTCTGGCTTCCCCATCTATAGACTTGCATTTCTGTCTAGTTATGAAAAATTTTAACTGGATATCTAATAGGTATTTCAGATACTTTAATGTGTCTGCAACTGAATTTTTAAAAATTTAAGTCTCTTCTTCATCTTACTTGTCTTTTCTTAGTTAAATATCCTAATTTAATACTTCATTATCCTTTTCTCTTCATTAAACTTTACTTCTGCCCTTTCCAAATTACCAACTTGTATTGTAACCTTTGAAATGTCTTTCAGATTTAGCCATCTACTCCACCCCCATGGTCACCATCTTGCACCTTCACTGCCTATTCTTTAAAAAATTATTATTATTATTATTATTATTATTATTATTATAAAGTAATGAGCACATTTTACAAAAAAAATCAAAAGTTTGTAAAGTAAAATTTTTCCTGTTTTTCCCTCCCAATTCTACTTCTCTTAAGTAAGTAACCACAGTTTCTGTTTGGTTTATTTATTGCCAGATATTTTCTAAGCATTCTAAATACATAGATACTAGAGGCCCGATGCACGAAATTCATGCAAGTCTAATTAGCATATTATGCTTTTATTATTATAGATATTTACTGTCTTTTTAAAAAATGTATTTTATTGATTTTTTTACAGAGAGGAAAGGAGAGGCATAGAGAGTTAGAAACATCAATGAGAGAGAAAAAATCAATCAGCTGCCTCCTGCACACTCCCTACTGGGGATGTGCCCACAACCAAGGTACATGACCTTGACCAGAATTGAACCCTGGACCCTTCAGTCTGCAGGCCAACGCTCTATCCACTGAGCCAAACTGGTCAGGGCTATTTACCGTCTTTTGCTTGGACTCTTAAAACAGATTCTTCACCCTGGCCAATGTTGCTCAATGGTAGAGCATTGGCCTGCACACCCAAGAGTTGCAGGTTTGATTCCCAGTCAAGAGCACGAACCTGGGTTGCAGATTTGTTCCCTGACTACTCACAAAAATGTTTCTCTCTCCTCCTCCCTCCCTTCCACTCTTTCTAAAAATCATTGGAAAACATATCCTTGGGTGAGGATTAACAACAACAACAACAAAAACAGATTCCTCACTGGTCTCCCTGCCATCAACCCCTCTCCACTCTGGTTATTGCCAAAGTTATCTACTTAAACAGCAAATCTTACTCTGCTAAAGAGCTCTGCTTGTTCCCCATCACCCCCTATAAGATAAGGACCAATCCCTTAAATATTGCATACAGAAGCCCTTCACAGTCTGGGCCCATTGTCTATCTCCAGCCTTACTCCTTGCCACATCTGCCTTGTTCCTTATCTCCAGCATCACTACTTCCTGGATTGGTCATGTCTTATCATATCTCCCTATCTTTGTACATATGCCCCATCTCTTCTCTATCATCAGGTTTCTTATTCTTCAAAACCCTGCTTATCTGTGGCCTCCTTTATAGAAGCATCTTTCTCATTTTTCCCAAGCAGAGATAATGGCTCTCTCCTCTCTGTTCTTTTAGTACCATAATCATACCTTTTCTTTTTGTCTGTATGTCTCCCCCTTAGCAGAAATTCCTGAGTAGCAGTTTGTGAAGAAGATAAAATAAGTCATAATCCTATAATTTCCTTCTTTAAATATATTTTCCTTGAACCAGAAATTTTCCTTATATTTTGAGGGTGAAATTTTATTTTAGTGCCTTATTGGAAACTGAAAAGTAAGGTTTTCTTTGTTTTAAAGTCAAATTGGAAAGGACATTTGGTAGTAGGCAAGACATCATAATAAAAAAATAAGGTAGCATAAGGAAGACTTTTTAATGACAAAGATTTTATATAAACTCCTGAAGTATCATTTTCTAGTAAGCATGCCATGTGTGTTTGATTACTATCCAAATTGTCACTTAGATTATTAAACAGTGAAAATATACATTATAGTTGCTGTTCAAAAAGTATTTTCTTGCTAAGTGGCTATAAAGACAGTTAGTTTAAAACTTCAGGATTCTAAAACTCAGTGAAAATAATTTGGTATATTTTGTCTCTATCTGTAAAATGAGGCAGAATTTTAATAGAAATAAGTTGGTTTAAGTATTAAGCAATTTTCTTCTGAAAATGAGATACTCTCTTTTATGATGGAGACGTCACTGTGGTTGCCTCATTTTCTTTGCTTCCTACTGAAGAAGCTCCCTGTGCACTTACAAAGAGCATAAGCAGTCATGTCAGAGGTCAGCTATTTGAGTCCATTTTCCCACAGCTGCCTGGTGCGAGTGATCTTTTACTGTGTTTTAAAAAAATGGGCAAGGATTAGAGAGGATTAGGAAGAATAGTACCCTCTTGAATATAGGCCCAGGGCTCTAAGGGGAGAAAACCCAACCAGGCAGCAAATGGGCTTTGCTTGACCAGGACACAACCTCTGCTGCATTCCTTTAAGAAACTGAATGGGAAATGTTAAGTCCCCAAACTGGATTAGTAAATAATCTCATAGCTTGTGACATCTGCTAAAGTAAATTGATGAGCAAATTGCATTCTTACACTTTGAGGAGGGGGCCAGCTACATCAAGACTAAGAGTAATTATTCTTTCTTTAAAGTTTCAGCTATATTGAGATATAGTAGTAAGAGTCATTAAAGATAGGCATTAAGCTCAGTAAGTGTTGGAAAACACATTATAAGAAACACAATATAAGAAAATTATTTAGATATATTAATATTATGTATACATATATATTGATTAATAACTTAAGGCTTAAATTTTGAAACAGCTGCACTTTTTTGTTTTTAAGATTCTTCCTGCTTGTAGCAGTTTTACAAAGTGAGTTTCACAAATTCAACTACTTAATTTATGTTGTTTTTCTCATTAGTTTGTGTAACAGTCTGAGGAATTTAGATTTTGAAATGTGAGAATATATATTTTGAGACACCTCTGGCATGTTTCTCTTTATTTTATAACAGAAGTTAATGTGGTTTGGACCTTATACACATAACTTAGTATCAAGTTATTTAAAACTAAAGAGGTGATTTCAAACCTGTTTTAGTAGGGGAAGTGTTTGCAGAAAGTATTTAGCTAACTAAAAGAGTTTGTTTTCAGTTGACCACTTTATATAAATAACCACTTTATGTACAAGTGATTAATTTTGTATCTTCATGTAATTAGTGTAATAAGTTTATTAGTATGATAACTGTGATTATACTGCTTTTGTTATGGATTATAATATTAAGGCAAACGTTTTTTTCAAGAATTTAAGGTGGGATTTAATTTCATCTATGAATAAGAACTCACAGGCTCTAGCTTCTTTAACAAGCATACTCACTAATCCCTCCAGTGCATCTTGTTCTCTTGGCTCAGTGCCTTTGCTCAAGTTGGTCCTGTACTTTGACTATGTCCTCCTGTTCTTCTCTTCATCCCACCCCCAATCCGCCCATCCACATTCCATCCAACGTTATATATTATCAGCTCCAATCCCAAATTCCATCAAGAGGTTTATTTTCAGCCCCTTAAGCAGAATCAATACCTCCTAAACCTAGAATTACCATATGACCCAGCAATTCCACTCTTAGGTGTATACCCAAGAGAGATAAAAACAGATGTTCACATAAAAACTGGTACGTGGATGTTTTGGGGAGTATTATTCAAATAGCCTAAAGGTGAAAGCTACCAAATGTCCATCAAATGATGAATGGATAAACTAACATATTATATGCATACAATGGAATATATTATTCAATCACAAAAAGGAATGAGGGACTGATACACGCTGTAACATGTATACACCTTGAAAACATTCTGCTAAGTGAAAGAAACCAGTTACAAAAAGACCATATATTATGTGATTTTGTTTGTATAGATTTGCCTATACAATCTATAGAGACAGAAAGGAGATTCATGGTTGCTCAGGGCTTAGCGGGAATGGTGGAGTTGAAGGTGGTAACTAAAGAGTACAAGGGTTCCCTTTTGAGGTGATGGTTGCACATATCTGTGAATATTCTAAATGCCATTGAATTTTGTATTTTAAATGGATGAATTATAAAGTATGTAAATTATATCTCAATAAAGCAGTTATAAAAACTAAATTTAAAAATTAATACCTCCTATCCATATTACTGTAAACATTGTTTATACCTCTAATAAAACATGTAGCACAGTCTGGTCATAATTATTAACTTAAGAAATCTGTCTTTCTCATTGCATTAGGAAGTTCCAAAAAATAGAGTGTTTTTTTGTTATTCCCTAACAAGCAAGTGCTTTGCTCTCAGTGAATATAAATTCAATTGAACTTCTTCATAATTAAGTTCCTTCACCTGTAAAATGAGAATGAGAAAAAAATAATTAAATGTTGCCACAAAGTCTTGTGCCCAAACTGTAGTTTCTAGTTTTTACACTTAATTAGTATTTGAAAAAAGTAAATATTTGCTCTTCACTTGAAGTAAATATTTCTTCACTTGAAGTTTCCATTTTATATTTAGCAAGGTCACATATAAGCCATTTATCACCTTATTTTTACCTGTAGGAATAATGTCATTGGAATTTGCTTACAAAGCATTTTATACACATTTATCAGTAGGACCTTAATGTCATTTCAACTAGCTTAATAATGGATTGTTTTTTAAGTAAAACTGACTTTATAAAATAAGAATTTACATTTTTGTGGATGTTTGAATTTAACATAATTTTTCTTTTTTCTGTGGTGTGTCTACATGTGTGTGTGTGTGTTATTTTTCTAGTACTTACTAGAGATGAAAAGTCTAATTTTACCTCCAGAACACATTCAGAAACGGGGTGATAGTGAAGCAGTTGCCTATGCTTTCTTTCATCTTCAGCACTGGAAGCGAATAGAAGGTGCTCTTAATCTGTTACAGTGTACATGGGAAGGCAGTAAGTATTCTTTTCCAAATGTTACCCTGATCTCTCTGACTGTTCACTGCATTCACAGGCAGCCTTTTTAAGTGAGATTGTCTGAGTTTCCATAGGATTTGTTGTTCAGATTGAACTCAGTGATATTAATTTGGTTTATTGGTAGAACAGATGTTTAATGTACTTATATTGGTGCCACATTTAGGAAAAGCAGAATATGTCTCTAAAAAAGAAAAGAAAATGTTATGTGAAAAAATCTATAAAATGTCTTAAAAATAGCTTTGATAGGTAATTAAGATGAATATGAGTCTGAATTGAACGTCAACATGTTTTTGTTTTGTTTTTTCCTCAGCTTTTAGAATGATTCCATATCCATTAGAGAAAGGCCATCTATTTCACCCTTATCCCAGCTGCACAGAGACTGCTGATAAGGAGCTATTACCTAGTAAGTAAATATTCTAGTTTTCCTAAACTTAAAAGTAGTTGTGAGGCCTGGCTGGTGTGGCTCAGTTGGTTGAGCATCATCCCATGCACTGAAAGGTCACTGGTTCGATTCCTGGTCAGGGCACATACCCAAGTTGTGGGTTCAATCCCCGGTAGGGGTGCATATGGGAGACAACCAAGATTGATATGTTTCTCTCCCTCTCCCTTCCTCTCTCTCTAAAAAAAAAATAAATAAATAAATAAATAGCCTTTTTTTTTTAAAGATTTTTAAAAAGTAGTTGTGAGATTGCTTTTCATAGTATTACCCCATTTTCAAAGTACCTTTGGTTGAACTTCAGGATACTGTTTAAATACTATTTTAGCCATTTCTTGGATGTACTTGCATAGTACAATTCATTCCCAAATATTTTTGGAATAGAACCCTGTGTTAGGGGCAGTGAAGGACACAAAGATTAAATATATTAAAAAGAGAGGGCATGTTATAAACATTTAAGAAAGAAATATCAATATTTCACAAAATTTTTTTCAGAAAATAAAGGAAAAAAGAACACTTCCCAACTCATTTTGTGATACCAATCCACAAAAAGACATTATAAGAAAAGAAAACTATAGAACAATATTCTTCATGAATATAGACATAAACATCTTCAACCAAAATTAGCAAATTTAATCCAGTAACATATAAAAAGGATTATACTCCATGACCATGACAGTGGGATTGTCCTCACAAATGCAAGGTTGGTTGGCATCTGAAAATTTAATGCACCACATTAATAGAATAAAGAGCAATAGATTTTAAAAAATATTTGACACAAATCCAGCTTTTTAAAAAAATAAAATAAAATTCTGAACAAAGTAGGCATAAAAGGGAACTTTCTTAATCCGATAAAGAGCATCTACAAAAAACCCACAGCTAACACCATACTTGATGGTGGAAGACTGAATGAATACTTTCTCTAAGATCAGGAAACAAGGCAAGGTTATATGCTCTCACCATTCTATTCACCATTGTCCTGGAGGGTCTGGTCAGTGCAAAATCCCTAGTGGGATTTTGATAAGGATTATATTAAACCTATAGATCAATTTGGAGATCTGCAACTTTCCTCCCTAGACTTCATTTCAAGAAAGAAAAAGAAATAAAAGGCATTCATGTTGGAAAGGAAGAAGTGAAACTGTCTTTATTCACAGATGACATGATTTTCCATGTAGGAAATTCTAAGCACTCCATAGAAATACTATTAGAACTAATAAACAAGTTCAGCAAGTTTGCATACAAAATTCAATTACATATTTATATACTAGTAATGAACAGTCCAAAAATAAAATGTCAAATCAATTCTAATCACAGTAGCATAAAAAAGAATAAACAACTTAGGAATAAATTTAACAAAAGATGTGTAAGATTTGTACACCAAATATTACAAAATATTGCTGAGAGAAATTAAAGAATACCTGAATAAATGGAGAGACATTCCATGTTTATGGAATGGAAGACCCAACATTATTTATATGTCAATTCTCTCCAAATTGATCTGTAAATTTAATACGATCCTTATCAAAATCCCAGCAGGGTTTTTGCAAAAATTGACAAGCTGATCCCAGCATTTGTAGGGAAAAGTAAAGGACCCAGAATAGGCAAAGCAGTCTTTACAAAGGAAAATGAAGTTGGATTGACTACACTTCCCAATTTTAAAAAGAGCAGTCAAAAAGTTAGGAGAAGAACCTGAACTGTGTAGGGTTATAATGCTGAGAGCATTTCTGTCTCGTTCTTGCTCTCAGGAAGCTGGACTCTCAAAAGAATAGTCTATATTTTTTGTCTCAGTCCATATCATCCACTCACTGTTTTTCTCTGTGAACTGATAAATTTCTATTAAACTTTTCTTTTTATGATTTAACCAGTTAAACCTGAAGGTTAGTAAACACTAGTACCATGTTTCCTTATATGATTTAAACCTGTGCCACAGTTTTTACAATTCTGGAGCCATTAGAATTGAAGTCTAAGGAGGAAAATTGCCGTTTCACAAGCCTCAAACTTAATGAGCTGAGAAGTTCAAACAGACAAATGACAATTTAGGAGAGATTGTAGAAGTTGGGTGTGCTGATATTTTTCTTCCAGGGTTTTTTATTTTCCTCCATGCTCTGAGATAGATAAGTTATCTCTTCTTTCTTTGAACTATCAAAGTACTTTGTGTACTTCTTAATCTCCCCCTTCTAGATTTTAAGCTTGAAAGCCAGGATTCTCTTTATTGTCCCTCTATGTATCTCTGTAACAATCACCATAAAATTGATTTTCAAGAAATATTACTTGAATTAGTCATGTTTATTAATTTATTCTTATAAACATGACAAGATCATTATAAGTACTCAGTAGAAATGTTAACTATTAGTACCTTTTCTTCCTTAGCCTGCTCTGAACACCTAAGATGCTCACAGGTTAATAGAAAGACTGATAAACAATGAGTTGAGTGCTGTATGTATGGAATAGATTATTAGGAAGCTGGAATGGGGGATGCCTAGATCTCCAAGGTCAGGGATGATTCCTAAATCTGACTCGGGTGACTTGAGACTTGAATGGTAAATCCATCATATAGCAGGAGGAGCAGGTTTGGGAATAGGAGTCGGGGAGTAAATGAGTTCAGACTTTGAGTATGTTGCACGTATTACATCTCACCTATATAGACACATATACATGTTCATTTAAAATGAAATATTTTATTACACAGTCATAATTTTCTAGGCATAAACGAGATCACTAAGGGAAACTATAGAGTGAGAAGTAAACTAAGGGTGGAACCGTGAGGGCACAAAAATGTCTCAGGAATGAGTGACTGATAAGGAGTCTGGAAGGCTCAGTGTGAAGGAGTGGTCAGAGAGACAGGACAAGAGCCAGAAGCAGATATCCTAGAAACTAAAAGGAGGAAAATATTTCCAAGTGAGGAGGAGTATCTGAGAGATTAAGTAAGGTACGTAATTACTGAGAAGAATCCATTGACTTTAGCAATTAGCAGGTCATGGGTGAGAAATTTTCTTTCCTAGGATGGTGGTGGTAGTAATTATTACTGTTTTTCCATTTTAACAGGAACAAAGATATTTAAGGCAAAGAAACATATTTTTAATTATGGAGCATCAGTATTTAAGAGTGTATTATATTAAGCTAATACATTTAGCCTAAAATAATGTCCCCCAAATCATCACAAAGGTTGCCTGATATAAGGCCAACTTTACATAGTAATTATATGACTAAAACCAGGGTTATTATCATGTATTGTCAGAGCCATAGGCTATAAGAACAGACAGTTCGCTTCTTGGCAGCACTTTATTATTTCTAGGGTGCGACTCATATGCAAATTCCAGGGATATATTATATTGTGTGTTCTTAGAGTATTTTTTTCTGTCTCTGATTGTGGTAGAATGAACACATTTTTAATAATGTGGAGTTCTAATACTCAGGAGTACTTAATATTTTTTGTTTTCAATTCTCCTTCAACCTTGATATGACTTACAGCATTCTGGAATTTGCTATGAGCCTCATAAGTTCAGACTTGAACTATTCCCTTAGTTCACATAGCTCTTTGGTTGTCTTTTATGCCTCCTGATAAATTTTTCTCTACAAGCCAGTGATGAAATTTGAACTTACTTCCAAGGGAGTGTTTCTGTACTAGTCATCCATTATATTGATGTATTAGCTAAACATTGACTGAAATGAATCTATAGAAAGCAATCAAAAAATAAATAATTAGGTCTCTTCTACAGTATAAAAATCTCATATTTTAGGAAGTTATCTTAATAAAGCTATATAGTTTCCTACCTTATAAAGTGGGAATAATGTCTGTTTCTTAGTAATTTATATTACTTTTACATTAAAAGATATAAAAGTAATATAAATGAAAAGGCAGTTTGTAAACCATAAAATGCTGTACAGTTTAATTAATATTAATTTTGCTGTATCTCAAATGATAGCAATTATAGTAGCCATTGGTATACTTACCAATTGGTAAGTATTTTTTCCCATCTTTGAGAATACCATGGTTTGGTTCTCGTGGTTTGCTGGAAGAGGTTGGCCTCTCATGGCTGAGGGATGGGGCATAAGGGAATGCTATTTTTTGGGTGCTGAAAGCATAGTGTTGTCCACAGCTTCTAATGTTTATAATTTTTTTTTAAAGTCAGATTTGTTGTGCTTTCACTTCAAACATGACTCAAGGCTCTGGAAATTTTTTGGATTTTTAATGAGTTTGGTTTTGGGTCTATACTTTCTGAATATAGTATAGAACCTAAAAATATCATGTCTACTGAAGGAAACTTAGGTGTAATATGCTCTGTGAATCATTATGTTTAAAAAAGTGAAATTTATAGCTGACCTTGATTCAGCACTGAATTAGTCATCCCTTACTTATGTAGGATATTACATTAGGAATTCCTCGGGTTTGTGTCCAGCTCTGAGCAGTCAACTTCCTGGACTAATGAAGTCCGCAGAATAGCTTTTAGTTCAACAGACATTTATTTAGCACCTACTGTGTGCCAAGCATTGTCATAGGCTCATCTTAGCATTGTTATACAAGTATTTTCAAATTTCAAATAAAATATAAGTACTTGAATACTATTGGTAATGAAATACCCAATTATTAGAAAAGTAATACCTGAGTAAATGTTTGAATGTGGTAAAATAAGACACAGGATTTCACTTATGTCCAGAATCCTTGGGCTTTGGTATTCTAGTTCAATTTTTATACTGCTCAATGAGATGCCACATCTCTATATATAAAAGCCTAATATGCTAAGTGTCCGACCAAGTGGTTGACCGACCGGTAACTATGACATGCACTGACCACCAGGGGGCAGATGCTCCGACCAGCAGGTTAACTTGCTGCTGGGGTCCAGCCAATGGGGACTGGGCGAGATAGGGCCAGACATGCCCTGGAGCCCTCCCCGGCCACCGGCCCGATGCCAGCCAGGCAGAGGGACCCCACCTGTGCATGAATTCGTGCACCGGGCCTCTAGTATAGAATAACTGGGTGAAATAAATAACTGATAGTTTTGGAAAATCTCCAACCACATCTCTGTCTCTTGATCTCTATACTCCCCTCTGAGTTCCCAAAGAGCAAGAATTATAATAACTTACATTTATTAAGGGCTTACAGTGTTCATCATAACAACTCCTTAGCAACTAATAGAGGGTTTAGCAACTTATTCAAGATCACACAGCTAATAAGTGACAAAGCTCTTTTTCAGAACCACCTCAGCATGACTTTACAATTAGTGTTCTTTCCCACGATGCCATCCTATTCCCAGTGGCCAGCACAGTCCTCTGGCTATGTGGATACCCTATGGATACTGGAATAAATAATGGATAACTTTTTTCTACCTTGTTTAGCCAGAGACTTATTGTTCTTTTTTGTTTTTTAATTAATTTTCTTTTTAGTTTTAGAAAATAGATTTTGCTTGAAAATATTAAAACTGGCTTACACTCTAGTCTTAAATAAAATCTACTTCTGCCTTTTCTCCCTTGCAGCCTTTCATCAAGTATCTGTTTACCCAAAGAAGGAGCTTCCTTTTTTCATCTATTTCACAGCAGGACTGTGTTCTTCTACAGCAATGATAGCTCTTCTCACACACCAGTTTCCTGAAATCATGGGTGTTTTTGCTAAAGCTGTAAGTATGATCTCAAGGACTTGTGTAGAGCATTTGTAAAACACACAAAAAACCATCTCTAATGTGTTTGTGCTAAACCAGTTGTATGGTGGATGATACTTGTTATAGTAAATTACAGGAATTGATTTGTAAACTTGCTGCCATAAATATGTCAAACACAAGTTTTCGGTGATTTGAGCTATATTTTTGTTGCTTAAAAGTTTGAAGAAAACAATGGCATAACATTATAAAGTTGGTCTTTGTAGATCATGTTTGGTAGTAAACATAGCACTTGTTACTAGCTAAAGAATAATCCAGTTCTTTTAAATGTATTTTCTTGGCATTTAAAAAAAATTCCTATTTTATAAACAAGCCATTTGATTTTTCCATTTAAATGAAATTATTAGTTCTAAGTATTTGCTGAACTTTCAATTCAAGAGTGCGACTAAGATGGAGAATAAGTAAGTAATATGGGACAGTTAGGACATTCACACTGGGCACAGATGTGCCTCTTTACTCAGAGGTTCTCCCTGTTATAGTATCTGCATGTTCTTATTGACCTTCCCCGCCCTGGAGTGTAGAACCATGTGTAGACCTTTATTTTTATTTTTACCCTTTGGTTTTGAACTACTTCCCCATTTCCTTATGCAGGTCCAGGAAGTACTTGAGGACTGATTCTACAGAGGGTCTCCCATGGTTATTTACTCTTCTACATAAACTTATAAATTACTATCACTGGCTCAAAGTAAAATTACCAAAGAGAATTCTTGTTAACTTTCTAAGCCTTTTAAAAAAATGTGTCTTTCTTGTACATCTTTGCATTTTTACCAGGTAATAAGAGTTCAAACCTAAAAAGAAAATGACGATTCATTTATTCCCAAATAGAAGAGCACTGAGAACCATAGAAACACTAGCCCTTACTTGGTAATGTGATTTCAATATTTTTCTCTAAATACCTCCATTCGAACTCCCTGTTTCCTCACAATTTCTTTTCCTGCCTTAAGAATAGTTTGTTCTGTGCCTTAAAGATTAGTTGGTTTTCTTCTGGCACCAGTAGTAAGAGCACTGGTTTCCCTTTTCCCCTGAAGGTCAACTGTATAATGTGTTAAGTTGCCACTGGCTGTAGGCCTAGGAGTCTGAGACCACACTTGATTTTGGGACAAGCTTGAAGAAGAATGACTTTCTCTGTTGTTCAGGGATTATAGATATTTGGGTTGGAAGCTGACTATCCTCTTTTCTTTTGGTGTAAAGAGGAAGCTTAGTGATTATACCATAACTCTGTTGTATGCAGTGGTGCTGATTGAGTGAGTGCATCTCAAACTGAAATGACCTTACTGTGTAATCTGGCATGGAAAAAATGGCCTAGAAAGGGAATCCCATCCATTTAGCAACTGGAAAAAATATGCAGCTCGCATTTGAGACCATAGGCAAGCAATGGGAGAGCTACTTCAATACTGGGTTTGTCTCGGGGCAGTGGGAAGGAGGTGAATTAGAGCGAGGAGGGAGATGTACAGTCTGGAGTAGAGATGTGGCAGATGTTAGTGGTGTACTTCCATGAGGCACTGGCTAAAATTAATGTGGAGTGTACTCATCATCAGCTCTGTCCATTGGTATTAGTAGATAGTGTCTGCCTTTATTGAGATCACGGATGTACCAGAAGAGCCTTGAAGATTGCATAGCACAAGCTCCTTAGCACTCTTCTAGCAGAGTCTGAGAATGAATTATGATTTTAAAGTGGAAGCTCCTTTTTTAGGCCAAAAGATATTAATTCACAATGATTCTGGTTGATGAACAACGAATAGGCATTTATTTTCTATCTTCTGGTATTTGTATAGTTGGTGATATGTAGTGTGAAAAATGTGCCCAACAGCAAACTTTTACAACCAATCCCTGTGGTTTTCATATATATGTTTTAAGTTCCTAAAAGCTAAGTATTTACTGAAATTACCTGCAAACCAATATTCAGTATGCAGCAGTTTTAAGGGCAGGTTCCATTTAAGAATAGATGGAAAATGATTGTGGTATGGAAAGTCTCCAGCGTATAGACATAACCTATAAATGACTAAATAGCCAGCCAGCCAGAAAGAGAACAAGAGGCTCACATCCTACATCTTCACCACTTAATAAAGTTTGTTCTATGCACTGGGAGCATCACCATTGATGACCCAGGAGCTTGTTAGAATTGCAGAATCTCAAGCACCACTTCAGACTGCCTGAATCAGCATTTTAACAAGATCCCCAGGCCATCCTATATGCATATTAAAACGAGAAGCCCTGCTCGACTTTACCCCCCAAAAGAGGATTTTAGAACACCTGGTTAGTACCACCTTTTCAAGGTAGAGAAGGGGCAGGATTGCTGAGTGGTTATGAGCAGAGGCTCTGGAACCAGACTGCTTTTCTTTGATTCTGACCCTGACACTTATTGGCTATGCAATGTTGAGTACTTTACTTAACTTTTTCTCCCCCTCACTGTCAAGTGAGAATAGTACTACCTCACAGGGTCTTTTCTGTGTGTGAGGGTTAAATGTGTTTAAAATATGTCAAGTGTTTAGAACCGTGTCTGCCCATAGTAAAAACTAGGTGTTAGCTGTTGTCGCCACTGTCATTGTCATCATCATTACCAAAGCGCAGCTGTAGCAGGAGACCCTATTCCTTTCACATTTGGGGGAGCTATGTACTAATAGTAAACTCAAAATGCATTTCCTACAGTGTAAATCTGTAAACAATATTGTTAGTGCTATACTTCTGGTACCTTATAAGTGTATATGTGGACCACAGAAAGTGGAAAAATGTTTCAACTTCTAGCCATGGCAAACGTCTCATAGAATAGAACCTATTGGTAAGTTTTCAAACTGCCTTTGTTAGGATTTTCAATTAAGTCAGATATAGTAGAAATGAATGAAGACTTTTCTGTGAAACATACTGCTTTTCTGTTTAGTAAGGCAAAGCAATTCAAGTAAATTTCCTTAGTTGTCACCACTGTCTCTTCCTCTTCTAATATCTTTTTATATTAGCGTACATGCTAGAGTAAATTCAGTTTGAATTTGTTAAAATGTATTTGTTAACAAAGATTGCTTTTTCTCAAAGCAAGACACTAGGGAACAATGATTTTTAATAATCCACACTGCACATCAGATTTTGATAAATGGAAGGGAACCAATGGCATGGTTCATGATTTTAGTTCCCTTTCTCCTTTTGTATGGTAGAATAAAATAATGTGGAATAAGACCTCATTTTCTGTGAGTTAGGACTTTTTTTCTGATTTATTTTTCCTGGCTGAGATAAAACTTGACATTAGACATACAGCAATGAAAAAATTGCATAAATCCCTGGGGATGTGGAATGTGCTGATATTAGAGCTGATATTCTCCAAGGCCAGAATTCCTGAAAAAGGAAAAATTGCTTTTAAGTGGTAGGTCACTTTCTCACCTGCTTTGAAGCCTGCTGGGTTAAATATGAGAGTTCAAAGTAAGGGTAGCCAGCAAACAAGTGGACTGGAATCTGATTCTGCTTATCTGAAAGGAGCTTCTTTGTGCAAGAGCAGCACTGTCCTCTCCTTAGAGAACCAATCTTCACCTACTCTGGCCCCTTTCATTTCTCTATTGCATCCAAGCTTTCTTCTCAGTAAGCCTTGGGAGGGCGTTATCACAGCAGTGAAAAGATAGTGTTGGTCTTTGGGGATTTCAGTAACAGTGATGAATTCAGGCTTGTGGCATGTGACTTTGGTGCTCTTAATTCAGAAGTGTGTTTGCATATAAAAATCCCTGGTTTAGTTTTAACTAAATAGGGCAGCCTTTGCAATGTTGGCAAAAACAAAACAAAATATAAACGGTGTTATGCGTAAAGACAGGAATCAAGAAAATTCCCAAATAAATTGTTTGTTTCTGCTAAGGGAAAACATTGTTGAAATTTGTTTCACTGAACACTGTGCTGGGGTGGGAATGGATCCTGTCTTCACATATTTCTACTAATCTTTATGTGGGAAAATGTGGTTGGACATGCCAGTGATGAATTTCTGAGCAACTCATAATTGGCTGGCTCCACTGTAACTCGGGCCTAACAATCTACTTGATTAATTCTTTAAGGACTGCATTAGCCAAGTTGCATGATTTCCAAAGATATAGAAGGTCAGATGTTACACTAACGAAAGACCTCTCTACAGAATGTCTCACTGGGATTTCTTCAGCCCCTGCCCAAAAATAATTAACATTTTTCTCCCAAAATTACATTTTAAAAGATAATAAGCAGTTATAAATGCCAAAATATCTTTTACTGCATAGTGATCAAAATGTTTGAGGTTTGTTCACTATTCTTATCATTTTTCTAGGACAAAGATTGTCCTCATAACTAGGGAAGTTGATAGAAAATTATAACTATATGTTGATATATACTAGTAGAAAAAATACTATTTTTAAAGGTTCTTAATTTTCCATTGTCATAAGTGACATGAAATATAAAAAAAATTTTTATATTCTCCATCTGCCTTCATTTATTAATATTAAAAACATGATAGTTGTATTTTTCTTTATTAAATACATAGGGCCACATGCAGAAATTAAACTGACAATAAGTGAAGATAAGTTTCTTCACTTTGTTTGAAAATTGATTATTTTTCAAAGCTATGAAATTTTTTTAAGTCATAAGAACTGATATAGTTTTTTAAATATCTTGAATTGTTACCAAGCCTATAGTCCTGTAAAATATTGTTCTATAGCCATGCTGTTTCCACAGCAATATATCTGAGGCATTTCCCAAAGATTATCCTGATAATAAAATGAATCTACTATGTGACAGGTCAGAATCTTAATTTTTGTTCTATTGTTAGTGCCACTGAAGTCTTTATTTGGGCAGTCTGGCATATTCCACTTTTGATTTTATTTATTAACTGACATATCTGTAGCAAGAGAAAAAATGTTCTCTATTTTCTCTAAGGGTATTATTTCTCATGCTTCCTTCTCATTGTTCTTCAAAAAGAACCAGAGTGAGAAATTAGTGAAATCACTCATGTTCTTCTTCATCCA